TGTCACCTCCCCCAGTGTCACCTCAACAGATGCCACCTCCTCTCCTGTCACCTCCACTGCTGCCACTTCCACTGCTGTCACCTCTACAGTTGTCACCGCCACTGGTGAAACCTCCTCCGCTGTCACCTCCACTGCTGTCACCCCCACAGATGTCACCTCATCTGTTGTCACCACAAGTGCCATCACCTCCACTTCTGCTACCTCCACTGATGTCACCTCCACTGCTGTCACCTCTTCTGATGTCACCTCCTCTCATGTCACCCCTACTGCTGTCACCTCCACTGCCATCACCTCCACAGATGTCACCTCCGCACTTGAAACCTCCACTGCTGTCACCTCGAGTGCCACCACTGCCACTGATGTCACCTCCACTTCTGCTACCTCCACTGATGTCACCTCCACAGACACAACTTCTGGTGTCACCTCCACAGCTGCCACCCCCACCGGTGTCACCTCCACTGCTGTGACCTCGAGTCCCATCACTGCCACTGATGTCACTTCTTCTTCTGCTACCTCTACAGATGTCACCTCCCCCAGAGTTACCCCTACAGATGTCACCTCCTCTCCAGTCACCACCACGGACATCACCTCCACTGCTGTCACTTCCACTGCTGTCACATCCACAGACGTCATCTCCTCTGCTGTCACCTCTACTAAAACCACCACCACCGATGTCACCTCTACTGCCATCACTGCCACAGATGTCACCTCCACTTCTGCTACCTCCACAGATGTCACCTCCTCTGCAGTCACCACAAGTGCCATCATTACAACTTCTGTCCCTCCCACAGATGTCACCTCCACGGCCATCACCTCCTCTGCTGTCACCCCCACAGATGTCACTTCCTCTGCTGTCACCTCGAGTGCCATCACCTCCACTGCTGTCACTCCCACTGATGTCACCTCATCTGTTGTCACCACAAGTGCCATCACCCCCACCGATGTCACCTCCACTGCTGTCACCACAAGCACCATCACTACCACTGCTGTCACCTCCACTGCTGTCACCCCCACCAATGTCACCTCCTCTGTTGTCACCTCGAGTCCCATCACCTCCACTGATG